ACGTGCAAGCGCTAGGAAGCAGCAGCAGCAGCAGCAGCAGCAGCAGCAGGAGGAGGAGCAGCAGCAAGACACAGATGTGCCAGGCAGCCAAGCAGCAGCAGCTGCTGGTGCAGGCAGCAGCAGGGCAGCTGAAGCAGCAGCTGCTGCAGGACAGCAGCATCAGCAGTCAGGGCCAAGCGTTAGGGTAGGCACCCGGCGCCAGCAGCAGCAGCAGCAGCAGCAGCAGCAGCAGCAGCAGCAAGACACTGCTGCTTTAACCACACCTACGGATGGTGCTGGCAGCAGCGCTGCAGCTGCAGCAACAGCAGCAGCAGGCCAGCAGCAGCAGCAGCAGCAGCAGCAGCAGCAGCAGTACGTTCCTGAGATCCGTCTGCCTGTGCATGCTGTGGTGCTGGCAGGGTTCAGTGAGTACTTCAAAGCCCTGATCTGCGGCTGGTCCGGGAACCTGAACCGCACCATCACCCTGGATGTTGGTGTGGAGGAAGCGCATGCTGCGGAGCTCATGATCGAGTTCATGTGAGTTTGTGGTGCCGTGGCGGTGGTGACACACGAAACTTGCAAATAGGCAGCTGCAGCAGCTGTGGCTGCGTGGCTAGCTGGCAACCGCCGGTTGACTTCAGGTGAGTGTCGTAGTGCAGCAGTGTATGCTAAGGCAGCAGTTACGGCGGGCTGATCAACGTTCTTGCTTGCTGGCTTGCCTGCCTGCTTGCTGGCTGGCTGATCAGGTGGTTGGCTGGCTGGCTGGCTGGCCGGCAGTGGCCCTTGGCGCATGTGCATTGACGCGCATTGTGGGCATGCCACACAATGATAGTGATGGCCGCAACTGGTCACACCATGCTGATGATGATAAAGGCACCTGATTACACTGTGCTGCTGCTGCTGCTTCTGCTGCTGTTGCTGCAGGTACACGGGCCGCCTGCCGTCTGAGTCGCCGCCCGATGAGCTGCTGCGCATGATCCGCCTGGCTGACCAGTACCAGGTGGGGCAAAGCAACAATTGTGCATTTTGCAATATGCATCTAGGCCGAATGTGAATGAATGAATGAACTCTGACTGAATGAATGAATGAATGAATTGTTCAGGTGGAGCTACCGGGCCTGCCACAGCTGACACACACTTTGTCGTACTATGCATGCGCTTGCAGTACCGCAGGTCTCTCGTTTCCTGGCTGCTGCTTCAAGCCCTTCAACCATCTCACTAGGACTGGGCCTGGTGCTGGAGCTGTTTGGGCAGCCGCACCTGACACACTCACCCTCATTCCCCCACAACCCCTCACACTCTCTCACACCACAAGCCTTCTTCTTGCTGCTTTGTGCTGTGCTGCAGGTCTCCCGCTTTCTGGCTGCCGCATCAAGCAGCTTTGAAGCGCTCCCGCTGTCCTCCCTAGGCCTGGGCCTGGTGCTGGAGCTATTTCAGCTGCCGCAGCTGACATGCACACACCCACACATGTTGCTGTCTGTGCCCCTGTTGCTCTGCATTTACCACAGGTCTCTCGCTTCCTAGCGGCAGCTTCCAGCAGCTTTCAAGCCCTACCCCTTTAGCTCATTGGGTTAGGGATGTGTGCTGGACCTTTTTTGGCTGCCTCACAGTGCCTTACAGTGCCTCACACCCACACACTGAATCACACATGTGTTGCTGCCTGTGCTCCTGATGCCACAGGTCTCGCGCTTCTTAGCTGCAGCATCCTCAAGCTTTGAGGCGTTGCCGCTGTCTTCTTTAGGTCTTGGTCTGGTGCTGGAGTTATTTGGGCTGCCGCAGCTGACACCCAAACCCACACATGCTGCTGTCTGTGCAGGTCTCGCGCTTCCCGGCTGCGGCATCCTCAAGCTTTGAGGCGCTGCCTCTGTCTTCTTTAGTGCTTGGCCTGGTGCTGCAGCTGTTTGGGCTGCCGCAGCCGTCGCACATCAACACATGCTGCTGTCTGTGCTTTTCCTGCCGCAGGTCTCGCGCTTCCTGGCTGCGGCATCATCAAGTTTTGAAGCCCTGCCCCTCAGCTCATTGGGGCTTGGCCTGGTGCTGGAGCTGTTTGGGCTGCCGCAGCTGATGCTGGAGGCGCCTGAGATGGCCAGGGTGGTGGGCAAGGCACGCGCAAAGCTGCTTGAGCTGTACGGAGACCTGGAAAAGGTAAGACAGCATTACAATTCCTTTCCAGCCTGTTACTTTATACTTGTGAAAATCGTCAGAAATCATCCACGGTTTGCGCCCCTCACAGTTCTGGTGGCAGCTGATGCTGGAGGCGCCCGAGATGGGTGGTGGGCAAGGCACGGGCAAAGCTGCTTGAGCTGTACGGTGATTTGGGAAAAAAGTGAGCAAATTATACTTTACCGCTACTCCCCGTGTCACTGGATAACGATTGTCAGCGAATATCCTGTCCGGAATGTTAATCTGCTTAGGCGTGGTGGCAACTGATGCTGGAAGCACCTGAGATGGCCCGCGTGGCGACCAAGGCGAGGGCCAAGCTGCTGGAGCTGTACGGAGACCTGGAGAAGGTACGCGGGCATTCCAAGTATCCCTTACAGCATCTTTCTAGCAGAAGTTTTGATCGGTTGGTTGAGTGACTCTTTGTAGATGGCGGCAGCTGATGCTGGAGGCGCCTGAGATGGCACGGGTGGTGGGCAAGGCAAGGGCAAAGCTGCTGGAACTGTACGGCGATTTGGAAAAGGTGAGCCAGACTTTGAAGCGTCCTTTGCCACCCTATGTTGCTGCTGCTGCCTGTTCCCCAACCTGCACTGCACACCTTCTGTGCCGTGCAACAGAATGTGCCTATCCAGGGATCCTTACGCTGCTGCGGCCCACTTGTGTAGTCACGCATAACCCAAAACATCTCGCCGCACCCTGGTGCACTCTCTACACATCGCAGGTGTGGGCGTCAGAGGCGCTGCGTGAGCAGTTCCTGGCGCTGCCGCTGCCCGCGGTGCGCTGCCTGCTGGCCAGCGAGGCGACCTGCGTTGCGGCTGAGAACACTGCTCTGGTGGCGCTGGCGGGCTGGGTGGAGGAAGGGGCAGCAGGGCAGGCCGCCACACCGGCACAGCGCAAAGAGCTGCTGAGCCTGGTGAGTGAGATTTTGGGTTCCAAGGAGGTGTCCAGACTTTCAGGCTGGTTGGTGCCCAGGGTTCTAGGGTGCCTGGTGGCCAATGGTTTAGGTTTTCTTAGGTGGTGTGGCTGCCTGCTGGCCAGCGAGGCGACGTGCGTTGCTGCTAAGAACATTGCTCTGGTGGCACTGGCGGGCTGCGTGGAAGGGGGCGGCAGGGCAGGCAGCAAGCCCGGCACAGCGCAAGGAGCTGCTCAGTCTGGTGAGTGGTTTGCAGGGTTTGCAGGGTTTGTAGGATATGTAGAGTTTTCAGGGTTTGACGGGGGCTTTGGGTTGTCAGCTGGTGTGGGCTGGTACTTGTGGCAGTCAGTCATACTTGCAGCGGCTTCTGGTGCAGTCGCAAAACGCAGTTGACGACCGGATGGCACCTGCTGCTGCTGCTGCTGCTGCTGCTGCTGCTGCTGCTGCGTCAGGCTGGGCTGCCGTCAGGTCACCTCAAGCTTCGTGGGTGGTGTTGACTGATCGGCTCGACTGCTGCTGCCGCTGCTGCTGCTGCTGCTGCTGCTGCTGCTTCTGCCGCCAGATCCGGCTGCTGATCGCCTTTTGTACCTCACCTCCAGCTGCATTGAAGGTATCTGCTGATCACCTTTTGCTGCTGCTGCTGCTGCTGCTGCTGCTGCAGATCCGGCTGCCGTTCCTCACCTCCAGCTTCATTGGTGACATCCTGCACAGTGTGCCATGGATCCGCGACGCATTAGACAGCCGGACGCTGCTCAACGCATTCCAGTGAGTCTGCAGTATTTGCATTGTAGTGGTTGAGGTTCAGCCAGGTTCAGCCTCGCAGCATCGTAGTCCACGCGCCAGTGGCTGGCCTCCTACCAATACGGCCCCTCCCCCGTGCGCAATGCGCAATGCTGCTGCTGCTGCTGCTGCTGCTGCTGAATCCGCGTGATACAGGTTTGCTGCTGCATCAGAGTCCACGCGCCAGCGCCTGGCGTCCTACGAGTACGGCACCGCGCCCGTGCACAATTTCGTAATGCTGCTGCTGCTTCTGCTGCTGCTGCTGCTGCTGCTGCTGCTGCTGCTGCTGCTGCTGCTGCTGCTGCTGCTGCTGCTGCTGCTGAATCCGTATGACACAGGTTTGCTGCAGCCTCAGAGTCCACACGCCAGCGGCTGGCCAGCTACGAGTACGGCCCCTCTGCAGCAACGCCGCACTTCCGCTGCCCGCGGCCGCTGAGCAGCGTGACTCGCGCAAGCTTTGAGTGGGCCATCGAGCTGAGCACAATCAAGCGCATGGTGGCCGACGCCAAGCTGTGGGGCCGTGTGGTGGAGCTGAGCTCGCCGCTGCACTACTTTGCTGGTGGGTGAGGTTTAGAGGGATCCTGTGAGGCTGCTAAAACCCTGGGATGTGTCGTAGTTGGGTTCTAGCGCTGAGTTTTTGCAAAGCGCATGGTGGCCGATGCCAAGCTGTGGGGCCGTGTGGTGGAGCTGAGCTCGCCGTTGCACTACTTTGCAGGTGGGCGGGGTTTTGCGTGGTGATGTGATGTGGGTTTAGGTGGGGATTAAGTGGGGTTTTGTAGCGTGACGCGAAATGCCGCGGTTAGTACACCCTGTACAAGTGGGGTGTTGAAACCACCGGATGTGTGAGTTGCTGACCCTTTCGCCGAGGGCCACGGGTTTCATCAAGTGCATGCAAACCCCGCATTGCAGGGAAGGGGCGTTGATGGGTGTTGCGGCGTAACCGGAGCTGCGGTGTACGCATGCAGAGTGTATGTTCTTGACTTGTTGGGCAGTTTGGACGTCAATGGTGTGCTGCAGCAGTTCTTGGTGGGGGTGAGGCAATGCATGGGCTTTGCTTTGAAAGGAGCCATGCTCTGGAGGTGTCTGGAGGGCTGCCACTGCAAGAGGTACATCTGCGCGTCGCACCCTGTTTCGATGGTTATTCAAACATCGCGCAATGTCAACGGCTTTGATCGCGGCAGGATTTGAACCTGCGCCCTTTGGGATGGAACCTTACTCCAGCGCCTTGGACCGCTCGGCCACGCGATCGGGGTTTCAAACCTGCAGCAGGTCACTGCAGACCGGCAACTGCTGCTGGGGTGGATGGCAGGAGCAGTGCTTTTCAAATTACTGAAGGTGCTGGATGCTAATTTGGCTGCCCTCCTGGGCGGCTGTCACTGACACTGTTTACACTAGTCCTGCCTTTGTTTAGCATCAATACTGCGTGTGCTGTGACTGACGGCTTTGCCTGCAAGGCCATATGTCAAGTTACACACACAGCGAGACTTTCTGGGGTGAGTCTCCTTGAGTGACAGCCTGTTTTGCTGAGTCATCTGCGACGTTCTAGATTTTCGGGTGTTCGTTGCAACGTAGTTGCCTGTGCACACCGTGTAACCCCTCTTCTTCTTCCTCCTGGGCGGCAGCAGCGGTAGGAGTGGTTTTCTTTTTGCTTGGATGTAGTGCAGCCTAGTGCTTGTCATGCAGCAACAGCAGTGTGGTGTTGCAGCCAGGTCTCTGTCAGCGTTGCTTGCATGCTCTATCATGCTATGCGCTTGCATGCTTGCTTGCCATGCCATGCTGTCCCTTGGAGGCGACCACTCGATTTTGCTGCAGCATTGTGGTCATTTTGCTAGGCGGGCAGTGAGGCTGCAGACTTGCTGTTATGTCGAAATGGTGGTGGGGGACGGAGTTGGACTTGAAACCCTACCTGGCTGGTATGATACGCCAGTTCAAGAGGCTGGAATCTCCTGGCCCCCATGTGTAACATACACTAACTAAGGGCGATTATTGCGCTTTCTGCTTACCCATGCTGTCCTGCCAACAAGCCACCATTGGCCACACACAGCACGCGCTGTCAGTCTTAGTGCAGAGATACCCGTGTATCACTGTCCTGCGACATCAACCGCAGGGCAGCGCATACGAAACTATGCAGCCACACACACCAATGAAACCCCTCTATACGTCATGGGAAACTGCATTGAGTGTGCACTCCTTTTCCTTTTTCCATGTCCTGCCTTGTGTGCCATCCTGATTCTCACATGGACCAGGCTGCCGGCTGGACTTGCAACTTCCGCTTGCTGCACAGTTATGCAATGTCTTACTGCTGACCCGCCTTGCTGCTGCTGCTGCTGCTGCTGCTGCTGCCGCTGCCTTCAGGCTTCTGGTGGCAGCTGCTCTTCAACGTGGAAAAGACGCCCGCGCTTCAGGTACTCTGTTTGCTGAATCAAGCAAAGCAACGCGTCTGACTGATTCACCATGCTGCTTCTGCTGCTGCTGCTGCTGCTGCAGGCTTCTGGTGGCAGCTGCTCTTCAACGTGGAAAGGACGCCCGCGCTTCAGGTACTCTGTTTGCTGAATCAAGCAAAGCAACGCGTCTGACTGATTCACCATGCTGCTTCTGCTGCTGCTGCTGCTGCTGCTGCAGGCTTCTGGTGGCAGCTGCTGTTCAACGTGGAGAAGACGCCCGCACTGCCAGACGCCGCGCCCGACGGCGCTGCCGCTGCTGCTGCTGCTGCCACGGTGGTTGAGTTTGTCGGCGTGCGCTGCCACGTCAACTGTGGCGCAGCGGACTACTGGCCGCGTGTGGTGCGCTTCAAGGCTTCGATTGCTGCGCTGCAGGTGAGGCTGTTCAGGGTTTAGAAGCTACTTTGGATTTGGGGTATAGGGATCACGGCTGCCACGTCAACTGCGGCGCAGCAGACTACTGGCCATGCGTGGTGCGCTTCAAGGCTTCGATCGCCCCGCTGCAGGTATGTGATGTTATGCGGTCGATTGCTTGGATTTGGGTTCCAGGTCCTGTGTGCTCGAGCGTTACTGCGCACAGAAGGCTGCTGGCCGCGCATGGTGCGCTTTAAGGCATCCATCGCCGCACTGCAGGTATGCAATGAAAAGTGGTTGAGTGTTCAGGTTTCTTGGGGTGGTTATCTTGGGTTGAAAGTGCGTTGCTGCGCAGCAGGCCACTCCCGGGTAGTCAAGGCAGTGTTGTGGCATACCTGCAAGACGCAACATGATGCGTTCAACATTGCACATTCTCCTGCTGCTGTGCAGACTGGCTTCTGGGAGATGGACTATGCGTACAGCAAGGCCATTGAGGGGCCCATCGTGGACGGAGTGGGCCTGGGCTACCCGGGCTTCTTCGCACTGCCGGGGCAGGTGGGTTGCGGTTCAGGGCTCGAGGCTACAGATTTGGGGCTCTGGTGCTAGGGTTTTTGGGTATAGGGTTTCCTTCTCAGGTGCAGGTGTAGGGTGTAGCGTCTATAGTGAACGGAGTAGGCCTGGGCTACCCAGGGTTCTTTGCGCTGCCGGGGCAGGTGGGCCGCGGTTCAGGGTTTCAGAATGTGCTTAGAATGTTCAGGGCTCAGGGCGATGCTGCAGGGTACAGGGTCAAGGGGTAGGCGTGGGCTACCCAGGGTTCTTTGCACTGACTGGGCAGGTGGGCCGCGGTTCAGGTGCCTGAATCAGGGTTTTGGGGATGGAGTGTTTGGTGCAGGAATGGGCCTGGGCTGCCTGGGCTGCTTTGCGCTGCCGGGGCAGGTGGGCAGCAGTTTGGAGTCGATGAACTAGGGTCTAGGGTGGTGTACAGTATGAGGTTGGGGTTTGGGTTGGAGTTATTGTCCTGCAGCATGCATGACAAGCGTAGATCAGCTGACTACAGCAGTGGGGTTGTATGCACACCGCGGGCTGTCGGTGGTTTCGCCATTGCTAACGCCTGCACTGCTGCTGCTGCTGCTGCTGCTGCTGCTGCTGCCAGGCGCTTGACAATGAGGGCGCCTGGAGCCGCTTTGTGCGGCAGGGTGGGGTGCAGCTGCGCTGCGAGGTGCTGGACTGCGAGTGATGTTACGTCCGCATCATTGTGTCATAACACATGTTACAACACATGTTATAACACAGTGTGCTCAGCAGCTCCTGAGCGCAACTGCGCGGCGAGGTGCTGGGCTATGCGTGTTGGTGCGGCGTCTTTTGAAGTACTCTTTTTATTGTACAATACAAAGCAGAATCACATGTAGCAATGGGACGGCGTGGCAGGATGCGTGTGAGCTTGCTTGCAACCCTAGCAGCTGGCATAGCGTATGTTGAGTTGTCCGTTGTTGGCTGCTGGTAGCCATGCGATATGTGTTATGGAAGGCAGCGCTGCAGCTGCCGTGCCCGCAGGGGTCGGCTGTGTTGTGCTGCGACAGGGCTTCGGTGCGTTGCTGTAGCAGGGACGCCATACGGTTTGAGCCCCTTGCCTATCACAGAGCAACATAGGTTTTGGTGCGGGCTGCTGCTCAGCAGCAGCTGTGTTGTTTGACGACATGTGCTCCTTGCAGGTGCAGGCGCAGTCCAAGGCGAAGCGAGGATGTGCGTTTTTTGTGTGGCCGCAAGCAGGACGTTGCGCACATCACCACGCATGTGTACATCATACTGCAGCAGGTGGAATTGTCTGTGCCTCGCATGTTGTTGTTTATACTTCTAGTCGTTTGCTGTCAGTTGACAAGCCAGTCAGTCGTATGCATTCCACAGCAGCAGCGTAGTAACAATCAACGGCGCGTATCTGCTGGCAGTGTGCGCATTAGTAGTTACTATATCCCATTGTAATAGCAGCAAGCAAGGCTGCTGGCCATTTGACTTGAATTGCGCAATGCATGCGCATCCTATGGTGTGTTGAGGCAGGATGTAAAAGGGGAGTTTACAGTTCACAACATGTAAGCAGTGGGCAGGATGTTGAGGATGTGGTGCACGTTGCAGCTGTGTTATCAGCTGCCACCACATAGACTACGTTGGCATTCACTGGCCAAATGCACGTTTTGCGCATGTTTGCAAAGATTGTGTTTCTCATATGCTGCAGCTTTTGGGAGCAGCAGCAGCGCTGCAGGCCTGTAGTACTTCAGGGGTATACTGCGCACTGGAACATCCAGGTATGCAGATATGATCATATATTGGTGTGACTGCAGCCGCTGCCGCATGATGGGCTTGCAGCGCTAGCTGCAGTTTCCTGCAGCATGCAGCAGCCGCCAAGCAGTCTCATGCTGCCTCTGTTGGTGGGCAGCGCTACACACGGGTAACATTACATGAGTGCCGCACACATGGCGGTTGTGTGCGCCGTGTGTGGGCTGTGGCCGCCCTGCACGCTTGAAGGTCCTATCCAGCTGTGTGATGTGTGTCAGGCATACTGTGCCTGTCACGCGTCGTTGTTGCAAGACGCGGGCGAATCCTGGACATGATTTTGAGTGGTGATGGAGATCAGCCAGGCCTGTTGTTATCAATTGCCAGGCCTGTTGTCGTCAATTGCCAGGCCTGTTGTCGTCAATAGGCGTGCTGTCGCTGCAACAGGAATCATGACGTGCAACCGGTCGAGGTGTTTCTTTGCGCCCTGAATATGGTAACAGTGCAGCCTGTCAACTCTTCGGATGCAGACTGTGCAGCACCTTGCTGCCTCTGGCAAGATTCGCATGGCCAGCTGCTGGATTGCTTGCCATGTGAGTACACATTATGTTGCGTGGTGTTTGTGCTTGTAATGAATGCAATCGGCAGCTTTCTTTATTAGCTAGCTGGTAGCTAGCTAGCCAGCTACTGCTGCTGTAGCAGCCCTGGCAGGGCCCAGGCTGGGCTGCCATGGCAGCAGCCGAGCCCTGCCATGCATGCCGTTGCATAGCTACTGAACAGCCCTTGCATGAAGATCAGGCTTTAAGCGGGCTTGACGAGACAAGCAAGCTGACAATCGGTTGGGGTTCACGCGGCTAGCCAGATCAGCAACGCGCCCATGTTATACCACATGGGCGCTTCATGAGCTGGCAATCTTTGTTAACCATACGGGAAGGCAAACAAGAGGATATTTGAAAGTTGGTTTGCCTTTCAAGTTTTGCATCCGGCCATAACTCTGCGATCTTCCTCACTCCCGCGCCGGACAGCTGTCAGGTTCCGACAAACTTCGCTGGGTGAGCATTACAAACGCAGCAAAAGCTCATTATAGTTAAAAAGGCCAATCTGAGTGGAACGTGTCAGCTGCCGGCCTGGCGGATATGTCTGTTCTTATCAGTTGCCTTCAGCCCCCGAATGCTTGCAGAGCCC